TGTTTCTTTCGCAATGTATATCTATTATTATACAAATAAATAAAGAAATGATGTTTACCTACAAAAAAAAAAAAAAAAAAAAAAGACCTTTACTTCAATTAATATTAATACAATAATATAATTTTAAATAAAAAAACTCATCATATATATATAAATGTGCATATTTTAAATTAACAGATATATATAATCTAATAGATATAAGAACAATAGATAATTTAGTTCTTATAATTTCAAGATTTGGTAGAAATAATAAATATTCATTAAATAAATATTTATTTAAATATAATTATTATTATTTTGAAAATTTTTAAATTTTTTTAAAATAAAAATTTCTATATTAAAATTTTTTAAAAACTTTTGAAGATTTTCAAAGATTTTTCTGGAAAATTTCAAAAAAACTTTTAAGTGAAAATCTTTAGAAATCTTTACTAAAAAAATTTCCTGATGTAACACAAATAATATTAGAGACAATATATTTATAATAAACAAGTATAAATCCTAAAACTTTGTAAAAAATTTAACAAATGTAATAAAAATATTAAAGCCATTATCAACTAATTTCTAATTAAGGCTAACTTTATTGAACTTTCCAAAATATCTTTTAAAAGAATCTTTTTAAAAATTAAATACAAAGATTATAACTTTTTCAAAATATTTGTTAAACACAAATTAATTAAATATTAATATCAAAAAGAATATAAATCAATTGAGAAGAAATTCCATCTTAATTATTACCAGGCTAACAATCTGGATTATATCACAAAATTAATCATAAACAAGATAAAAAACTAATCCACAAAGCTCTGTTTATTGCATATCTCAGATCTATAGATATCATTTTTCTCAAATATTGGCAAGTAGCTCAACTGTTTGAATATTATGTTTCTTTTAATTTTCTAAGAGGTTCTGATTTTATTTTATTTATTTATTTAATTTTCTATTATTTTAATTTACAAACTTAATAAAACTATCATATAATTGATAGATTTAGACAAGAAAAATAGGTTTTCTTGATCAAATATTGTCAAGTTAGTAAAAATAATATCTGAATACATAGATAATTAATTTTAGTATATAAATATTATATTACTTATAATACACTTATCAATCGATAACTACATTATACAAATCTCTACAAACTTTTCAAACCTTCCTTCCCATACTGATATATTATTCGATACATCAGATTCTTGCATCGCATCCCCATATTAATGCATTATTTGATGTATTATATTTCTCATCCATACTTCATATCATGCCTTTTATATTCTTGCCCTCTACATACAATTTTTTATGCTAAAAATAACATTATTTTAAAATTTCAGAAATTAATAAAGTCATATTCAAGTTTTGCCTATTAAACTCAATAAAATATAAATGCCTCGTCTCTTTATTTCTACCAATCCTATTGGATGGATATGCGAAACTCTTCCAGTTTTGGTAACAGACTCACCATTTCACCATTACAGAATAAATAATTGCTAATTTTATTTAACACACTTAATTAATTGCAAAGGTTATGTGTTTGTTCTTGTCAAATAAAACATTAAATTTTCAGATACTCGTATTATGTCTGAAAGCATGTAAATATTAGGTGCATGTATAAATAAATATATGCGTAGTTTCAGTAGCAATTTAAAGAGGGAGTTGGCATTTGCGTTCTAATAATAAATATACAATGCAATTTGTACTGTGTAATTAGACGAGAAAGCCAGATTTAACGAAGAGAATTGGGACTGAAAGATGGTTCTAAGAAAATTAAAATTGTAACCCGTCCTGATTAGAAACTCCCTAAGGGTAAAGTCTGGGATTATTTACCTTTAATCGTACGTAATGTAAAGGAATATCGCGACAGACTCGCCGATTCCACTCGCAACAATATATTATTATTTATTTATTATTCTAAATTTTCGATTAATAACTATATTTAAAAATTCTTTATAACAAGATTACTGGATTATTTATGAATGCTGTGATGATATATTGATGAATGGCACATAACGATATGCACATGTAAGATTCTAAAATATTGAATTATTTCAGCAAATTTAAACCTTTTATATATGCTACGTACATATTTAGTATTATATGTTTTCGAAATCGTTATTAACAACAATACTTTTAGTTATATATAATTTGATTATGGAAATTAAAGATATTTTTACATTTAATTATAACTAATTTGTTTTTTATTGTTTTAAAAAATTTGTTTATATCCAGTGTGTAAATTAAATAAAGAGAAAAAATCAAACATTGTTTTATTTCCAGTATATATGCAAATAAAAATACGATTTATAAATTCAGTGATCGATTAATAAAATTTTGATTAGCACGAATATGGTAAATTTCGGCTTTTATATTAAATTTTTTATGACTTGATATACGTATGGATTCAAAATAGTTAACAATCTTAATTTATAAGGTGTCAATACAATGCGCACATATAATTTACCTGCTTTTTAATCAATCAAGACAGAATCAACTCATTTATGCAATAGTTCGTTTTTTTTTTTTAAATGCTTCATTTATCTACCTAAATCGCGCATAAAGAGTTAATTAAACCCATTTTATTGCGTAAATCAACTGAACGGCCTGCAAGTTCCTACCAACCGCCAATCGAATGAGAGCGGAACAATCCAAAATATGCCGATCGGAACATCATTAAAAAGAGAAATGATTGTCAATGGTTCCGAACTTCATTACAGTAACTGAGAAACAAAATTGGCAACAAATACAAGTATATATATAATTTGGAAAATTTTTCTGGGTATTTTTGGAATCAAAAAACTAAAAAAGTTTTTTTTTTTTTTTTTAGAATTCATGATAATCAACATTGTGGACAAAAAATAAAAACTCATTTATCATTTATTATAAATTTAAATTTTTATATAAGAAAAAAATTGATTTTTTAGATGTAAAAAAAATCGATATGCAATGGCTTTTCTTTTGATTCGCTACTTTATTTTTGAATGCCGCTATTATTATCCCTGACTATTTTTAGGATTGTTTATGATTTACATTGTGCATAGCAATTCCGCCTCTATTTATCCCTTGTTTTACTAATTAACCTTGTATATAATTCAAAATAATTGGTCTTTGTGTTACGTAATTCTACGTGACTCGTGTGTTATCGAGATCTACTGTGTTTCTTATGAGCAAACAGATCGCATTAAGATGGATGTGATTATTTTTTATATGTTTAAATAATAGCCAACTATTAACAAGAAAATTACTTAATGAGAATAATTCAAGTGGTATTTTCAAATAATTTTTCTTTTGGAATCTAAGTAAGGCCACGGTTTAAAATTTGCTGACTCAAAAAATTTTATCAGATCGTACGTTCATAGTTTATGTATAGGATTTATCGAGAAACCATTTGATTCGTGCTCTGACAATCAAAAAAAGTTTTTGAATTGTACAATTACTCAAGGCATTCGTCTAAATTCGAACAAATTGACTACACCATATATATTCGAGTTGCAAATATAACCGAGAAATTTTATAATTAGAGAAATTTATAGTATTTATAGAACAGGTAACATAAAAATAGAAGGATCACATTGATCTTATTAATTCCATAACACGGGGATAACAATTCTATAATTCTGTTGGTTCATTTATGTTGCGCTGCTAAGAAAATAGAACTTTCATGTATCATCCTTTATCAATAATGTGTCTCAAGGGGACTGAAACCCTTCTGACATCTACATGAAAAAACAACATAAAAGCCCTCCTCAAAAGATTTGACGAATGTTAAAACGTCAATTGCGTTTTTTTCGTTTTTATATTTTTAATCCTACTTTATATATATTATATATAAATTTTTCCGTAAAAAAATAAAATACCGCAAATAAGATGAATAAAATTGAGAAAAAAAAAACAAGTAAACGTGGTAAAAGTCGTAGAAATAGAACTCACCATCTACAAAATCAGCTAGTATTCACTGTTAAGGAGAACCCATTCTATCCTCCATTGCTTTTACCACAATCTCTTCCAACAAAAGAAGAGATAAAAAATTTTGTTGAAAAATTAATTTCGAAACCCAAGCTGGGAAGGTTTCCAAATTCTTTTATCATATATCGTAATGTGTATGTTAAATATTTGAAAGATAATGGCCACAAGATTCCCATGACCGAACTTTCACCAATGCTCTCACGTTCATGGTATATGGAACCGTCTTGCGTAAAGGAAGCCTACTCGGAAATCTCAAAAGAAATTGAACGGCAATATAATCGAATAACTAAAAAGAATCATCCTCCAAAAAACCAACCAACTTTGAATGAATCATTCCCAGAGACACCTCAAGCTCCTACGGTGGAACCCGATTTTCATAATGAACTCTTTCTATCTTCTTTTTCAGAACCAATTATCTCCTGGTCTCCTGTTGAATATATTGATGTTTCACCTAACCAATTTATTCACTCGTCCGACACATACGGTTTTCCACCTTTATTTCCTGTAAACAACGGTTTGTTTTCTGATATTACTTCTGAAATTCCTTACGACGGCTGTTTAACGTCGTCTCCAAGTATTGAAGTTGATTTAAGTTGTCATTTTAATATCAATCACGTGATATGAGCTAAATATTTCTAAATCTATTAAACCTTGTTTGAAAAATACCAAATTTTATTTTCCACATTTTCTTGTTTTATCTTAAAGTTGCCAACAATCTCGTATATTACATTCTACAAACCATAACATTTTGTACATAGAAAAGCTCGTAATATTTTTTTATACAAAATCGTCAATGATGAATAAAATTTTTTGGGTTAATCCATTGTCGATTCCTTCATCCAATCATTTTTTTTTAACGGTTCCACCTTAGTGTTACAAAGTACTGTATCGGGTCTCGGACAAGAATCCCATACCTTTTTCCAATTATTGCGAGTACTTGAATGTACTTATGTATATAACCACCATGTATTCGTACTTAAATATTATCTGAGAAAAATATGGGCGTAAAACAATTAATGGTTTTTTATCGTACACTGGCTCATATCTTTATCATAATCTTATTCGTACCATTCTATATGTAAGATAGGTCAATAAGATGATGATTGTTTTTGGTAATGTGATCTTTTTTCGGGCTGAACAACGAAGTTTCCGAAAGAAATATTGTTACAAACCGATTGTTTTGATGATTAGAAATTCTTCATATCACAAACAACATTCTATTGTAAAGAACTCGAGCATTATTACGTTTATCCAAACGAAGAATCCACACAAATAATATGCACCATTATCAGTATCCAAGTTAGTACCGTCAAAACATGCCACGTACCGTACCTACAGTATGTCGTGTATTGCAACAATTATCATACCATCGAGTTGTTTAATTCGTTATTGTACTTATCTTGCCATATACTGTACGTATATGCTAAAGTACAGCACAATCAAGTTTGACTAAAGGTTTTGCATCGCATTGTATATTCGACTTTTTGTTTCCTATAGAGAAAAGATAAAAATTACGAAAAGTAATTATATTACCTTTATGTACATTTCAAATTTCCTTTGAAGAAAAATAATAATTGTAGATGATTTATGTATATTACAATTTTATTTCTAGGTTTTTTGTTTATTTAAGATTATTAACAAATTGCTGAGTATTAAATCAAAGTTCCCAATAATTCTAGATTAATTTCACGGGCCCTGAATTATCTTACGATTAAGTAAATATTTATGCAATTGGCACGTTACTTATTTCTAATATGAACGTTCTTATTTACCTGATAGCACAATTAAACATACTATATCTTGATTGGTTTAGCGTGTGGCTGATAATTTATCCTAATAACAATGACATTAAAAAGTTTCAACGATCTTTATTATAATCATCTTTGTTTATTATCACATAAATACAATATACTGTATTCTTTAAAAATCAAAACCTCATTTATTATGATTTAATCAAAGTTATCATATTATAAAAGATCATTGTATATCAAAAATATATTTTTATGAAATAAATTTGATCTTTTATTGTGATCCTTGTTAAATACAAATTATGTAAATTTTAAAAAATTTATTATTAAACATTATTTATTGTATATGTTGAGGGTTGGTTTTTT